AAATAACTTGATGTAAAATTTGTTTCACTCTTGGACGGTCAAATTCTGATTTTTCTCTAAAATCACTCAGCCTTTGCCTCAAAAGTCAAATGAATGTGCCTTGATCTGTAGATTACAAGTTTTAATATTGTTTCATTTAAATTATGAATTTATTAACGGGAGCTTCGCTTTTAGCCTTGGCTAAATCTATATATTAGCCGTCAGTCGTTCTCATTTTCTGCACCTAAACTATGGAAATCATTGCTAGAACCTGCTCGCCATCATGATGTTATAAAGACTTACTCACTTTGCCGTTTTTCAAACAAAGCATTGAAATAATGTGTACGACATAAATAGTTGTTGTTAGTTTATACAGATTTTCGTTTAGTATTTTTACATATTTATGTGTAAACTTTCTTAACATTATTTCTATTTATATCAATTGTTCCTTTGTAAAGCACCATGAGCCCATGAATATGGGATCATATAAAAGCTTATATTATAATTTATTTATCATTCAAATCATTACTCTCTGTTTCAAGGTTCCTCCTAAGCTAAATGCAAGCGATGCACCCGTCAGAGAACAAAAGTACTACCTAAAAACGTTTGATACGAAAATTACAAGTAAAGCAATTGCTCTGGTATATTCATTTGCAACACAGAATGATAACATCACCGACATTCTACCTGACCCTTCAAAAATCTACGATTTCAAAGACCTACAATCTTTCTTTCTTGCTACCGCACTATCCACCTTTCAAGATACGACACGACCAACAGACAATGTACAATTTGTACTCAACCACTACTACAAGAAATGAAGAATCTATCTCAATCTTTCAATCAAAGGCTACTTGAACCCACCAAGCCATCAACTTCAGCACCACCTAACAATGATTTAAACCAAGGGATGGATGAAGATGAAGACCATCAATTGAACAACCATTACGGTAACATCAATGAAAGCTACCAATCAGAAGCATTGGAAAAGAACATCAAAGACACCCTTAAATCCTTTTCCGTACCCCACTCTCATCAGTCACAGACACAACTACAAACACAGGACTACCAGCAAACACAGGCTCAAAAACAACAACTAAACAATCCTTCACTAGCCCTATTTAGATGACAAATATTACGAAAACGGTATTTGGTTCTTCCAATATCTGGTGCTTTCCATCCACTGTTTCACAATCAACACCCTGGATAGAAATGGTTCAAATTCATGCACACCTTTTGCATTAACGCAGGACAAATTTTATTTTGTTAACAATTCTGTCAAACAATTCTCCTTTTCTTACCAAGATTTCAGGCAATTTTGAGCTCGAGGAGTCCCTAGATCTTTCTATCGTAAATTAAAATCCAGCAGTCCCACAAAGCTCCTTGGCATTCTACTTACCACAACGAAATCAACGAAAACGTCTTCCAACAAAGTTACTAAATACCTTAACAACAGCCTTGATCATACTCCAGTCTTTTGATTCACTAAAATTCCGCTTGAAAACATTGCGGTTATGCTAAAAAACTTAAAAGTGTCAAAAAGTACCAGTCTTGATAAGATCCCTGCTGAGGCCTACAGAAAAGTTTTCTTTCATTTCTAGCGATCAATCCAAGATGATCAAAGTGGTCATTTCCAAAGCTGTCATCAAGGGCTATCACATATTTCAAATTCGCCCTCCACCTCTATTAGATCCCCAAGTCACCAAGGAGTATGGCAACAAGCACGACAAATATGCCTACTTGATCTGGGTTCCAGAGTTGGAGTTAATCCCACGCAATATGTGGAGCGTTGTGACAGATGCCAAAAGGGGAGAAAGAGTAGAAACCATCGCTGGCTTACCCAATCGACGGGTCCCACAGGGGCTGTCATCATGCTTTTGGGAGCTTCTGAGTTCTCCTCACGTTGATTCAACTGACTGGTAACAAAGGACCAAGGGCGCGCTTGCGGGCACGATATTTACCTCACCCATCCAACTTGAATTAATTTCACATGATATAGTAATACATCCCATATCCTCAGTGTATCCTTATTTGATCAAACCCTATTGGGCTATTGCATTTAAAATCCGTATCCCCCGGTTATGCACTTACCTTCTCTTCTTACTCCTTAAGATTGGCTAAAATTGCATTCACCCCTGAAGACTTCCATAAAATATGGGTTCACCCCTGAAGAATTGTGTAATACCCCTGAAGAATATGGGTTTACCCCTGCAGAATTTTATGAAAATTAAGGCTTCAACCTCAAAGAATTCCATATTTTTTTTACTCTACCCCTAAAGAAATCTCAATTTTTATAACTTACCCCTGGAGAGTTCCATGGTTCCTCAACTGGGGGGGCGGGATATTAAATGCAATAGCCCATTTTACATGACTTGTCATCTGAAAATTAATTAGATCAAGGGGTCACAATTCATTCAACCAAAAAGCTAAATGCCAGTTACGTGAGTGAAGGGTTAGGACTCCATCGGTGATTTATGAAAAATAATAATTTTTTTGCTGATACAAAAACCAAAAGAGAATGAGGTAGCCCTTTCTCTCTTGCAAGATATGAAATACTGTATTAAATAACCCTTCTTTCAGAAAAAAATTCTTCTTCTTTAGTAAACAGACGGGACACCCGTGTCAGAGCTGTACACCGTGGCCAGCACCACAGTCACCTGGAGGAGGAGCTGTTATTCCCTGCTCTTTTATTATCAATGTGAAAGACGACCAGCAGCTAGTTGTGTTGGAAAGAGTTCAGTCTGCTGTCAATAACATGGCTGAAAGATCGGTGTTAAAAATAACGATCATTTAAATAATAACCACCACATAATTCCCAGACTACTCAATGCATCTCTCCTCCTGCCCAAAGTTTGAAAAAAAAAATGCTTTTAGTAAAAATAAATAAATAAATAAATAAATAAGAGAGACAAAATTTAAAGTTTGTGTTGGAGACTGTTGTTTGAAAAGAAAAGCAGATTAACATTTAATACTCATAGAAACTTGCCACAAAACTATAGTCAACTGTATCAAGAATAAAAAAAATACATGGAATACTGAAAATTGCGTTTTCGTCGGAAAACTATCGCATTCTTATGTACTTTTCGTGTTCCTTACATGAGTCGCGGACCAAGGTCCATCGAAAACTTTCGCCTTTTTACGAATTCCAAGCAAAATATTTATGTCTAGAAGTTGAAACTTCAGGATTATCGAGAGGAACATAAAAGCTATCTTCAGGGAGTATTTCAGCTCGTTACGTTTTGATTCAGGTAAGATATTCAAGTTTCTGACTTTTAGATGCAGACCAAGGACCACATACTGTAATTGAATTTGCAAAAACGCAATTCATCACTGGCTCAGGTTTGATGCCAGCACCACAAAGTTGACGCCACATTTGTGGTAGACTAGTGCACATTTTATCCGCAGAAAATTCCGTCAGGCCCAGCAGATACCAATGATTTAAAGTATAAAGGAGCCCCATGATATATTTGCAATGCTCGCTATCCCTAAAAGGGGTAAACAGAAAGACGTTGAGACTCAAATAGCCCAGTTAAAGCGAGCTAAGTCGCTTGATCAACAAACCGAAGAACCAAACAGCCCAGTTAAAGCAAAGCATGCTGCAGCTGCAAATGTCATTCACTGGTCGTCCATAAACGTCCAACTATTCAACTTCCATGCTGCGGGAGCCTCGGCTCATGGCGGTTTCTCAATATATCAACCACTGAAATTAAACGGCTCGTAAACTACTGGAACTCTGGACCTACAAAGTTGAGGGACTGTTGGAATTTTTTGAACCTCTAAGGTTTCTAGGATTGCTAGGGCTTTGGCCTGTTGGGTTTCTAGGACTCTGGTCCTCTGGGAACTTTGGCCGTTGGGTCCTCCGGGACTTTAGGTCGTTAGGGTTTTGGGTCGTTAGGTATCTGGGCCTAAGTGGGCCCTTGGGTTTCTGGGTTTCTGGGTCTCTGGGCCCTTGGGTTCCTGGGTCCTTGGGTCTATGGGTCTATGGGTCTCTGGGTCTTTGGGTCTTTGGGTCTCTGGGTCTCTGGGTCTTTGGGTCTTTGGGTCGTCAAAGCATTGCATATTGCAGTTCAACACTAGACGGAAAATCAAATTTAAATATGTATCATGATCATAGGCTTTCAACAGGAACAATATTTTTTCATCAGTATTTTAATCGGAACAACCACGTACCAAGACCCAATGTATACTTTACATTTCAGTCGCGTCAAATGTAGTTTCCATTGAGAAAATGTTCACAACAGTTGCAATTAATCACCTTCGGTAAAAAATCAGTGCAGAAAAAAATCGTCTTTCAACTGTTAAACTGTATTGTGCACAACGAATGCGAATGCGAATGGGAATAATTCCGGTTTACACATTGACTGAAATTCGATGTATAAACATGACCTGAGTATGAGGAAAAACAATTATCTTCACATTAGCCAATGAATACTATATCCGCAGGTATATTTTGCAGACTGTAGTTTGCAGGTTGAAATAGCCATTGTTAATTATTATTGTTAAAAAGCACCCATGAGTACAATGTATATTTTCTCGTATTTTCTTTGCCAATATTCATAAACAAAACGTCAAAATATAACAACGGCTTCACAGCCACCAAGGAATATGCGTGTTCTAGACAAGTTTCTTCACGTATTTCACGTTCAAGTAGCAATATTTTTCACAGAAAGATTGATTTGTTCCTCAATCAAAAGGAGCGCTAATTCTTTTCGCTGTTTAAGGTGCTGTAGTTTTTGCTTCACTTGTTTTTCGTCTTTCAGGCGAACCAAGTTCAGTTTCAATATGTTCACTGCTTCATTAGCGCTTTTGTTGTAGGCATTGGTTAGTTTAGTGACTAGTTGCTTTGGAATGTTTTTCTCTAGAACTTCGGGCTGGCCCATGACATGCTGAAGCAAGATTAAATTTTCTTCATCTGTCCATTTGCCATCACTGACAGATTCATCGTTATCAATCATAAATTGAAGACCTCTTTTTCTTTCTCCCCCAAATTGGTCTTTGCTTCGTTTCCGTTTGGTGCTCTTTCCAATACTAGTTTTCTTCCCGTAGGGGTTATCGCAACCGTTACACTTGCAGTTTTCTCCACACGATTGCTTTACTTTTAGACATGGGCAACGGGAGGCATACTGGCGACTACCACCCGCTTGTCGTTTGCAGCAAACATTTTTCACTTCTTTGCTATTCATCCCACATGTACACCTTTGTGTGGGCTTCGCGGATACTTCCTCGACGGTTTCCATTCTTTGTTGATTTTCAAAAAGAGCATCGTAGTGTCCCGGTCCCTCTCGGCTATACGCTGCGAACAGACAGAAATCACTGCATCCCTCAGCGAATTCATCGGGAGTGACATTTATAACCGGATAATTTTCAATCGATGTTAAAAGAATCAAAGGTATCTTTAGCACATTTACAGTCGCCTTAACCATCAAATCACCCACTTCACCCGAAAACACTCCTGGCTGAAGAAATTGTTTAACACGCTCTTCCCATTCTTGCATTCCGTATTCCTGTACAAAGTCAACATACTTTTCTTTGTTATAAACAAGTTCATGCACCATCATAGCCCTTAGCTTTATTGCCATTTCTTCGATGTTATCAATTTGAATCAGTCCGAGTGATGTAAAATGGTTCTTAAGAGCACTATGGGATCCAACGTTTAAAACATTAAATCCCATAGCCTTAAAAAAGCAATCGCCATCTCTTGGCATAGGGTGTAATTCCATTCCAAATTGTTCAGCGACTGTGGCTACAACGCTGCGACTTTTATCGGGCTCCAAATTTCCTCCTCCAGAATTTTTCAGCATGTACTTAACAATGTCAGCTTCAAAAAATAACTGGTACAAGTTAATGTCACATCTTCTGTTGGCTTTCGTATTTACTGTGTTTAAAAAGGAAAGCATCGACAATGCGCGTCGAATTGGGCCTTGTGGTTCTTCTAAATTTCCAGAGACGTTAATATCATCGTTCCCTTTTTTAGCCGTTTTCCCAATTCCGAATGTCTCTTCTGATTGTGTGGACTTGTGAGTTTGTTGAGATAATGGCACCACAACTGGAACACCATTTATCTTGTTCTTTCTTCTGGAATTCCATGAAAAGAAAAATACGGTGAGAAGTGCCACAGCCAACTCCGGCCCCATCTTAGCTCCGGCGAATAAATCGTTTATTTTTTCGTGGAGACATTCATTAATACTTGTTGAGTATCCCGGGGGAATTCCCGAAAGACAGCCTTCATTAATATGCTGTCTTAAATTTTGCACTTGTTCTTGAAAGGACTCCCGCAAAAGAGGATCGTCTGTCAGTTGTGTATCGGAGATGTGTTGCCATTTTTCAGCGAACCGATCAAGATTTCTAATAATGGTTGCTGGGTCTGGGGTAGGTTTCTCCCTCTTCGTCTTTCCGGTATCGTCATCAGATCTATAAACTTTTGATAAGTCCTGCACACAATCCGAGTAGAAACGATGTTGCTTATTTATTGCTTTCGTTATTCTTTGAACCGCATGGAAGATATCCAAACACACCCGCACGTTTGGGCCAAATAACTCGTGTATTTTTTTCCTCCACTTACAACAATTGTCAATGACAAAGAATTCCACTGCTTCATTCTGACTATGTAGTCGTTTCTTCAGATTGTCCAACATTTCCTGAACCATTTCAAATTTCTCCTTCTTTGTTAGTTTCCATGTGACTATTTCGTGATTCTCGTTCAGTACAACGAACAACGAGTTAAACTGCTTGACCCAGGAGTGATCGGCTCGTACTAACCCTATATTAACTGTAACCTGAAAGAAAAACAGTCAAGGATTATTAATTTCTCAAAAATTATATTTGTTATCATTTTCATTACAATTAACGGCCTGTTTACATGGAAGAAGGGTTTCCTGCCTTGGCGGGTGACCCGCCTGTCCATGAGTATAAACTCTTAAGTTTTTCGCCTCGCGTTTACATAAAAGGTAGGGTTACCCGCCTAGCCTTGGAGGGTAAACCTCATAGCCTGGTCGAATTTTGCCATATTAACGCTTTTTTTTTTTTAAAGGCATCTCTCATTGAAAAGGATTGACATTAAATCTTTTCGGGAAGAAACTAAAAAAAAAAAGATTGCAAACGTTGGCCTGAAATGTGAATTATTATTATTATAATTATTATTATTATTATTATTGAAAATTATTAAACAATTTTGCCAATTTCTTATTATATCAATTTCTTCTTATTACAATATATTATACCTTAAAAGTGTGGTCTGCCATCAGTGCTCTTGCCGATGTCGAACGCATGGATTCTTCGAAGTCGACTTTTCTATCTTGAAAGTCCTTCAGAAAAATGTCACATAGTAAGTCATCACTTGGACACATCCTAATCAAGAAGTCTTGAAATGTTGAAAATAACTCTTCTGTAGATTCTTTCGAATACTCTTGTATTGCCTGATCAAAAAGTTTTCGCCTCAGGTCGCAGTTCCTTTGAAATTCCCACTTTTTCTCCATGCAATACTCAAGCTGATGTTCCATGTACGTTGACTGGAACATATTAAAAGACAGTCCGTGGGAAATGTAACTCCGCAGTCTCTTCACAAATGCTAAAGTGAAACCGCACTTGTGTGTAAGCTTGAATGGCAGATCGACAAAATAACTTTCGCTAAGGTATCGCAAGAAATCACCATCAGTGCTGCGAATGTAATGCCTGTTATGTCCCGCCTTGCAGTAATAGTCTCTTGCAACAAGTAATACTGGTCCATTATCTTCCAAGAGAACACGTGGATTTAAAGAGTTACTCGATCCATCAGTCCAACGCGCGGGCACAACTACATGTCCATGTTCTTCACAAACCAACGGATTTAGATCGAACATGTCGTGGAACTGAAGAAGTGGGTCCCAAATAAACAAATTCGGAAGCGTGAAAGACAACGGAGAGCAACATTCGCTAATCTTTGGTCGGTCTGGGCGTATTTCCGAAAATTCTTGCGTGTAGGAACCTTCCTCGTATTTCCGAACAGTAATTTTGATGTATTTCTTAACGTTTTCGTCAATTTCAACTGAGGTTGAAATTTTCAGCAACATTAAAAATATACCGACAATATAGATTCTGCAGATTGTGAGAGGAGCCATCGCTGAGAAAAACCTTGGCGGTGAAAAATAAATCCCCTAGAGATCAAGATCATGGCAACCGATGGTTTTGACACTTTATTGTCGCGTCAATCAAACCGGCGAGGGTGTGGGGGGGGGAGGGGCGGGATTTCCTTTTGAAGGGGAAGGGGAATTTTCTGGAGGATTTTTCCTCATTTTTTCCACGTTGATTTTGCATGACTCGCTCTCAGTGCACAATTAAATCGCCCAAAGCGCCCTCCCGAAGGAAAAAAATGGTCGACCCTCAGTCTGTGAGCAGGCTCGGAAAAGACGAAAAGGAACTTATACGGCCGAGTGAGAATGGAGGAGATGGCGGATGCCAGACCGGTTTATCAGTGACAGTTTATTTGAGTTAAACATCACATTACTACGTGACCGGAAATCTATTGCACAACCTTGTGGTTTTATCAAGGTTCGCACCACATGTTTTCCTGGCTTAATAATTGGCAGTAATGTTGCGCCCCCGGGTTACGCTCTCCTTACTCAATTGCAGTTTACAACCCGGGTTTAGAATGAGGATGAAACCATACAGGCTCTTTTTGTATGAATATTATGTACTTCAATATTCTGGTACAAAAACCTATTAAAGTAGGTTCGTATATAAACCAAAAACTTAGTGTTTTTTTAACAGTTGACCCCACAGGTTTAATATTGCACAGTATGTAACGTAATATTCTGATTTCACACGTTTATGAATGTAAAATTGCAAGCCACGTGGAACGTCGCCTTCTCTTGGTTGTGTTCCCGATGCATGATGGCGGACAATACCATGTTAACCGTGGAATCTATCAAAAAAGAAGCGCAAAGCTGCAACATGCAGTGGAGCGAGATAGCTAATAGCGCAGTGACCGAGTGGTTTGCGACCCTTGCCAAAGCAAAGGGGACTTGTCCGGAATTTATTTTGGTGGGTGTTTTACCGACTGTAAGCGCTCTGATGGGCAATACGACAGTGCAAATATTTGACGGATACGAAGAGCGAGTCAATCTGTACATGCTTGGTCTCGGTGGTCCATCTACGGGCAAGACACAAAGTCATCGGACGTGTATCATAGAACCAATCCTAAACTACCTGGAGGGAAAAACTGGAGGAACCGAGCTACTCCTGGAAGACGCGTCGTCTAATGGACTGTTCCGTTTTTTCACGAGGTCCACAGATCGTGTTGCAATAAGCGCCATTGACGAGTGCCAAGACTGGTTCAGAGAAGTACTTGGCATGAAAGGCAGTTCAACAGCCCCGTCGATGAAACGCTTACTGCAATGCTATGACGGCTCACATTGGTATGAAACCAAAGGCAATTCTAACAAAAGAATCGGCGTGTCTTCCGCAGCCTTAGCTCTGTCTTGTTTCACCCAACCCGATGCTTTCCTTAAGAGCATCATGCCTCGAATGGTAGCAAATGACAACGGGTTGTTGGACAGATTTCTGATCTGCATTCCACCGACGGAGCCCACTTCTCTGGAAACGCGCAGGGACAGCAGCGCGGAACTAAAGGATACAAATTTATCATCATTTGACCGCATATACGAACAAATATTCTCAACACACAGGAAGGCGGACAAAGTTAAATATGAACTATCGGCAGAGGCGCTGGACATCTACGTTAAGCACGTAGGTGAAAGCAACTGTGGAAATGGGAAAGGAAACACGAAAGATGAAAAGAACATCGTGCGCATCGCCGCAGTGATCCACGTACTTTTCACGCTCATTGACCAGGCCTTGTCTAAAACAACGGGAGTGGTGCCGGTGCAAATCAACCGGCATGTGATTAACGCAGCTATATCACTTGCACTTTATTTTGAGAAGCAACGAGCAATCATCCGTCAGGTAATTTTTGTGAACTTAAAAATTCTATTTTATAGACTGCTCGCATTACATATGTCCACAAATCGCATTTGAGAAATGAAGCTGTTACATGCGCACATGGTAAAGTTACATGTTGCAGCATGTTGGCATGTATTATGCATGCGACGCAAGTCTAGGAAATGTTTAAAAGTTTTCATTGTAGTTGTTCTTTTGTTATATCATATGGACATAAAATGTACAATGTGAATGTACATTATGATACGGTAAAAACTACCATTTGTTTGTGTTACTATATGCTTTTGTTGCCTAGAGCAATGACATAACTCTGTTTGGCATAAGCCTTGATTTTTTTCTTTTTTATCAATTTCAGGCAGCTTCCCTCGGAGAGATCCAAGGAAAAAATAAAGTCTCCGATGAAGAGATTAAAGAGATGATTCTCCGGCAGAATGGCTACTTTGTCACCCCCAAGAGAGCTTCCCGTAAATTCTCCTCCCGGATAAGGCCAGATAGTACAAGGGTACAAGAGCAAATGAAGTCGTTGGAGGAAATGGGCCTTGGAAAGATGGTAAAAGTCGACAGGACCATGTTCTTTTACAAGGCTCTCCCAACTGCTGTGCAAGTGGACAAACTTGCTGCCTTTAGGATCAGCATCGACCAATATACGGAATCTATCAAACTCGTCGATGATAGTTATACAGAGATGCAAAGGGCAGCAGCGGAAGTCCACCACCCAGAATGGGATAGTTTCAAAAGATTCCGTGATCCCAATAATCTAAATTGACTTTGACTTTTTTGAATGAGCTTTCATTTTTGCATTCCATTGCAAAGTAGTCAAATTACCCATGATGTTGAACTTAACATACAAAATGATTGTTCGTGTTTAATAATTTAAAGGAAAAACAGAAAAAAGCGTTGTTTTATGAAAGAGTTTATGATCAAAATGATTTTTATTGCATTCACTTCTTTTTATGGCGAGATTACATTGCCGTAATGTATCTGTTCGCCGATGTACTAAACATACAAAATGATTGTTCGTGTTTGATACTTCAAAGGAAAAACAGAAAAAAGCGTTATTTTATGAAAGAGTTTATGATCAAAATTAATGCTTTTGCATTCACTTCTTTTTATGGCGAGTTTGCATTGCCGTTGTATTTGTTCGCTGATGTGCTTTTGCGATTTTTTAATTGTTGTAATCAGTTACAAAGTGATTAATAAATGATTTAACAGTTTGAAGCCCTAATTATCCGTCTGCATACTATCAAGTGGGATCGATCTCGTATTTGGGCGTGTATTAGAAGTCAATATTCAACTGCCCCCACCCTCTCCTCCCGCCTCACCCACCACTACCAACAATTACCTGTGGGGGTCGGGCAAAACAGAGAAGCGCAAAGACCCAGAAACCCAAAGACCCAAAGACCCAAAGACCCAAAGACCCAAAGACCCAAAGACCCAAAGACCCAAAGACCCAAAGACCCAAAGACCCAAAGACCCAAAGACCCAA